TCTCAGTATGTTAGTCACCGAAACAGGTTCTTTAAAGTTTAGGTTAATCGGCTAAATCTTGTCCGCCATATTTGTTATTGTTATTGCAACGTAAGCAGTTTAGCGGGTGAGTTCGGGCGAAAAGCAGGTGAGTTCGGCAAAAAGCAGGTGAGCTCGACGACAAGCTCACCTACTCTAAACCAATCAGAAAGCCGCTTTTAACACAGGTATGAGATAATCTACCAGACGCCCCAATGAACGATAAGCAAACCGCCGATTACATAAACAGTTTATTCACGAGTTTGACCAAAGAATATCCTAAAGTAAAAGATGAATGCTTATCATTGGGAAGTCAAGATCCTTTACTACCAATTACGACTGAAAGTGTTGCAAAGAAGTTGTCCAGCATAAAGGTCAATAAAGCACCTGGCCCTTTTCACCCAAATATGAAGGTGACAAAGACATTCGCTGCCATTAGCTGATATCTACAATCAGTCGTTTAGATGCAAAACTTTTCCTGAAATTAAATATGAAAAATTTCCAATATATACATGTCCTGGAATCAAGTCCATGTTTGTCAGTGGAAGGATTAAGGCCAATTGCATTGACTAGCACTTTTTCAAAACTTCATGAATCATATGCTGTTGAGTGGATCCTAAATGATACTAATGACAAAATTAGTGAATCCCAATTTGGTTGCCTTGCCGGAATGTCTGCTGTCCTTGCATTAATTTTCCAACTTAACAGAAATGGCATCTATATAGCGACAAAAAAATAATAAGAAAATTGTTCGAATTACATTCCTCGATTTCCGAAAATCCTTTGACTTAATTGAGCGCAACCGACTTTTGCAAATTTTTATTACATTGGCATTAATACGCCAGGCTTGATTGGATGGTTTGCATCGTATTTACAAGGACGATCACAGATAACTTCACATCATGGTGTAAAATCCGAGCGAATGGAATTTAATGGGGATGTACCCCAGGGCAGCAAATTAGGTCCAATCGCTTTCATTATAAAAATCAATCAACTCCTATCAGTTACAAATTGGGAATCGGCCAAAACAACTAAATTGCGTTTTGGTTATGAAAGAGTTTAATATTTTGTTCATAGAATACGCGATTGGCCTTTCTAATCTCTGCAAAATTTAAGTTTCACAATAGCTTTGATTGATCGACTCTTCTAAGTTGGTATGCCTTATCTCGTTTCTGTATCAATTGTTTAATTCTTCCATTTATAAAAGGTTTGTCGTCAACTTGGATTTTGACTGGCTTTAAAGGGAAGAATGCATCGACCATTTCTGTTGTTATTTTTAAAAACTTGCTGACTTTATATCGTTTATACAAGAGGCATTCAACATGGATGACCAGTTATATTCACTGATATACTGCTCAAAGGCTTGTAGTGACGAGGATTTCAGCGGTCTTACATTTATCCGTTTTGACTTTTGCTTGTGCTTCATTTGTTCTTGTGATGACCATATAAGTGTACAGTGGTCCGAGGTACCAATTGGGGCTAATACAAGTGGCTCTTGGCAGAATTTATGAATGTCCGTCAAAATAAGGTCAAGAATTTCCGAATTTCTAGTATGTTTTTGATCACTTGTTTCAAGTGGCAATGTGGCATTGTCTATTAATTTCGATCTTCGTGTTGAAGTTATTACTTGCAGGGCTAAAATCACCAGCAGCTATAATTGACGTATTTGGGCTTTCTGATTTCAACATATCATAACAATAACAAAAGTACTCATAAAACATGTTCAAGTTCTCCTGATCTATAGATGGAGGAATATAAACGCATGCAATCGCGCAATTCTTGATATCGATCGAGGTAGCCATTTCGGCCGCAAAATAATTCGTAGTCTTCGTTAGATAAGTCAGACCGGACTTTTAGAGGTGTAGTTTCTTTAACATCGATTGCAACCGCACTACCTCTTCCTATCGTTCTATTCTTCCTTGTTAGGTTAAAACCAATGATGTTCATTGATTGGTCTGGCACATCGCCTGTCAGCCACGTTTCGGACACTAGTATAATATCTCATTTATGTTGCTCAATCACAACCACAAGTTCAGGTTTCTATTTAAAAATTGATCGCGCATTAAATAGAAACACATTTGGCATTACATGTCTTTGTTTACATCCCAACGCAGATCATTTTTGAATCTTAATCACATTATTTCTTTTGGCAATTATCTTATCATTGTTAGTATTATTTGAAAAACGTTTTTCGCGCGAGGTAATTCTAACAGTGATAGGTTGTATCAAGCTATCATTGGGATATGTTTTTTTGTGACGAGTGACTTTGGGAGTGAAGTGTACAGCTTGTCAGCGTTTACTTTATCCTCTTGAAAGTCGGGGGCTTAACAGTTAAACAAGAGTTATATATAACAGTTATATATTGTATCTTTGACTTTGTGATTTTGGCACGCGTAATTACCGGTGATTCTCATGAAATTCGATCTGACGAAGTATTTAAAAAACTTAACTGGTTACCAATGAATACACGTTTACAAATTCGAGAGAACATATAGGTACTTTCAAGGCATTAATCGGAAATTCGCCTGCATATCTTACTAAATTATTTAATCGTTGCTCGAATGAAGAATATAATTTGAGAAGTAATTTTGACCAACTGTCATTAGCAAAACCTAGCACAAATTTCCTTAATTTAATTAAAACAAGCTTTTCCTATAGAGCGGCAAAATCGTGGACCTTCCCTTAACTTTAACACAGAACATTAGTAAATATAATTAATTAGTACCTTTTGTATTAGCGACTGACTGTAGTGTGAAGCCGATGAGTAGCTAGGCTTCATAATTATTTTTGTAAATTTTATTGTGGCTACCGTGTTTAATTAAAGAATTTTAATAAACATGCAATAAACAATAAACTAATTAAACTAATACATTTAGCTTTACAACAATTGAGATATTGCTTTCCTAACTGTGGCAGGAAACCTGAGCACCCGGAGAAAACCCATGACTTTCAGGAGAGCGTTGTCGACTGCCGGACTATTTTCACATGAGTCCATAGCGAGAATCGAACCCACGATCTCAGAGGTGAAAGGCGCTAGGTGTGACGACTGCGTCAAAGAAGTTCAATAACGAAGAAGTTGGTCCTTACCTTCGAGTGTTGAATTAAAACAAAAATCCGAACTTTCACTTGCTTGGCCTTGTGAAATTAATACCAAAACAATGCTCGGAATGATCATGGAGAAGATATAATATTTCATGTGCATTGTTGGTCCTCCAATCAGCATGCACAGCTCCACAACTATACAATGAATAAAACATCACCTTAACGTTTTTTATTAATGCGAAGTTTCACTTTGCACCATTGCTGTTGGTGGCAAGTTGAGAGGAGGCATGTATTCATACAACTATATATCTATCCTATCTATTCATGCATACAGGCATAGAGTAAACTTTCCGGGGGGATGGGGGGGTGTATACGATTTATGTTTGTGGTGATTTGAAGGTTATTTAGGCAATTTTAGTTGTTTTATTTAAATATACTCTTTTGTCCTTTTGCCAGTTCACAAAAATTTCGAGGAATCGTTGTCGAAATTGTAATTTTTTGAAAATTCTATAACATTCGCTTTTCACTTTGTATAAAGGATCTTTATCCCGGAACACCCAATTTTTTCTTTAGCAGCGCAAATGCGCACTGCTATCAAGCCGTGTATATCACGATGGCGTGACGATGCTATGAAGGAGCGACACAGAGTTGTTTTCAAATGTAAAAACATTTCAGACGTGAATATTGAGTAAATCTTTCAGAATCTACGCATTATATATATAAATTGATTTTACGCATCCGGGCATTAAATTAAGTGCCGATATTACTAGCTTACAATCACTTTCAAAAGATGTTGGGACACATGCAGTTTTAAGACGTAAATCAATATATACAGTTTGTTACACACAATACCGCACCCCTCCCCACCCCACCCCTCCCCAATCAATGTTGTTTTCTCGATTCGAATACCAATACTCATCAAACTTGACGAACAATGGCACACAACATTGAATAGGGGGCGGGGGGATCGACATTTGTTATAATTAAAGGGTTTTGTTGCATCTGTCCCAACACATTTGAAACTGATTGTCTCACCCCATATTCCATAACATTTTACATATCTCAAAAAGATAGATAACAAAATGGTCCGAGAACATAGTATTTTAGCTCCACTTTAAAGCATAAGATATGTAATATAACATTTTAAAACAATGACGCTTTTTTACAATTCAGAAAGTTAATAATTAACAGAATATGAATATATATTTTATTTCATATGTCATTTTTAATCACAAATATTTTATGTGTTGTTTGTTTTTACAAATCTCGCCAGACTACAAGTGGGTTATTTGAGATGTTCCAATCTGTCAATAAAGACAGGTATCGCAACTGTTTTATGTTAGATATATCATACTTAGTGTTAGTTTACAGCATAGTAATATAGCATCCGGTTATTATTCGCAGGCGAGCAATGGCTGAGTTAACAGCTAACTTTGGGTACCCCGAAGCTAAGGAGCGTTTATTTAATCACTTTTAGTCAATGTGACAGTTTACATCTTTCGCGAGCAGAATTTGCAAATATAATTGTTGACGCATGGCATTCGCGCTCCCGATCAAGGATCTGTCAGTGGGTAGTGAGTTTGGAGGCCCATGAAAATCATGGTAGTCACTTCCACATGGCTATAAAATTGACGACAACATCGAGGTGGCGAGCCATCCGAAAATTAATAGATACTAAATATGGCATCAAGTTGAACTTTTCGGAGAGTCACGAAAATTATTATACAGCGTATTCGTACGTGGTAAAGGAAGACATGGATTTCGTGCTTTCTCCAGGGCATCCAGACCTTTCCAATGCTGACCCGCCACCCACTACAAAGGCGACATCACAAATAAAGAGAGCAGCAAAGGTTTCGAAAAAGAAGAAACGAAAGCGACTCGCCGTGTACGACGTTGTACGTATCGTACAAACAAAACAAATACAGTCTCGTCTGGAGCTTATGGCCTTGGCTGCGAAATGGCAAGAAGAGGGAAAAACAGACCTGGGGGAGTTCGTTGCCAACAGAGGCCCTAAAATTGTGAATGAGGCTATAGAAACAGCCAGGGAGCTGAACGAAGCGCAAGAAAGACTGAAAAGAGCAAACAAAACACGAATTGAGTTATTGGAAGAGAGTGCGGCAAGCGCATGTGCTGATGGTTGCCAAGGGGAGTGGTTATCAGCTGCCAAAGAAATTTTAGTTTTAAGTGGCATCGGTATACAAGATTTCTCATCTGCTCTTCATGATGCTTTAAAACGCGGCAGAGGAAAATACCGTAACGTATACATATATGGCCCTGCAAATTGTGGCAAAACCTTCCTTCTCTCTCCGCTCAAAAAGATCTTCAAATGCTTCATGAACCCGGCATCCGGAACTTTCGCGTGGCTTGGAATTGAGAACGCAGAGGTAGTCTTGTTAAACGATTTCCGCTGGAAGCCTTCACTAATACCCTGGTATGAGTTGCTGCAAGTGCTCGAGGGCGATACTGTTCATTTTCCTGCACCCAAAAATGTGATGAACAAGGACATTGTCCTAGATAAAGATACACCGTTCTTTGCAACAAGCAATGCCCCACTTGCACTTATCAAGGGTGGCTCGATTGACCGGATTAACACCAAAATGATGCAAGTTAGATGGCACACCTTTCAATTGCATCGGCAAATACCACAAAACGAACAGAAGGAGATTAAAGCATGTAATTCATGTTTTGCTAAATTTATAATAAACAACACTGCTCATTAACTTAGGACAACACAATGTTAGTGATATACGCTAGACGGCAATTATGCTAATAAGCTTTTCCGGATCAGACTATTGCAATCCAACTACCATCGGTTGACACATCGATTGTCACTTTAGAAATATGAAATAACAAGCAAATAAAAAGCTTCTAAAACAGACTAAGGCTGAGAATAATATGTTGATAGTGTATAACATTGTGGTAGCTAGTTTTTAAATGGTTTAATTATATTTATTATTTATTGAAAGTAATTCAAGAGTTTTGATTGGATGAAATCGTCATATCCGTTCGGTAGTTGCCCAAATTTGGAGTTATGGCATCACCATTGAATATTGAAAACACATATACGACATTATGACGTAATTTGGTCGTATATTGAAAAAACATATACGACATTATGACGTCACATTAATTTATGCTGCTTATATGCCAAAAGCGGGAAAATACAAATGGCTTCCTCAAAGGAAAGGTTCGCCGACCTTGGGGAAGCTGAAATAAAAAGATTGCTTGAAGAAAAAGACTCAGTAAACACAAAAAAAGCTACAAAAGCAAACAAAGCGATTTTTGAAGAGTATCTACGAGAAAAGAAGCTTGGCCATCCAGAGAATAGCGAAGAACTTGCTTCGGTTCTCAAAAGCTTTTATGCTGATCGAAGTGAGGAAAAAAAGATGAGTCAGAATACACAAAAAATTCGCTGTATAATTTTTACAACTGTCAAATTCACTTTCACGAGTAAAATGTTTATAAATGTTAAAGGTAATATTTAAATTCGTGTTAGAACAGTTGAAGAACACTTGTTTTCTCGATCATTTGTGTTTTTATACAAATATTCCGTATATTTTCTCGATAATTTGTATTTTTATATAAATATTCTGTATATTTTCTCGATAATTTGTATTTTTATATAAATATTCTGTATATTTTCTCGATAATTTGTATTTTTATATTTAAAAATATTCTGTATACTTGAAGTGTAAATGGGGTCAGTAAAATCTGTAGCATTCTTTCAAACGCTTATATTCAGTTGAAATAAATTTGTTTGAATTAATTTGTTTGATTTTGTAATATGACAACAGTTTTAAAAATAACAACATAAAACGCTCTCTGAGTTTCCAGCGATATACATACCCTTTTCTAGATATATACCTAATAATAATAAACGAACGAACGAATGTATTCCTTCCACTCGTGAGCTCATTTACCATTGTCACATATAGTAAATGTCCAGGCCTTGTGACCCTGGATGGGCACTTAAAAGGAAAGAATACACAAACACAAACTGCGCATGAACGAACGTTCAAAGTGAATGCCTCTTGTTAGCCACCTACAAAATTATTATTAGCGTAAACAATATGTCTCACACCTTCTTCTTCCTTTTAAGTGCCCATCCAGGGTCACAAGGCCTGGACATTTACTATATGTGACAATGGTAAATGAGCTCACGAGTGGAAGGAATACATTCGTTCGTTCGTTTATTATTATTAGGTATATATCTAGAAAAGGGTATGTATATCGCTGGAAACTCAGAGAGCGTTTTATGTTGTTATTTTATTTCCTGAGTACGGGTCTTCGACCAATTTCATATTGTTAGTTTTAAAAATATTCTTTCCTAGTCTGATTGGCTTATTTAGTCTTGCGAACACTATATTATTGTTCCATTTTCAGCAGCTTGCGCGGTCTTGTTTACAATGCAAGCGTTTACCCTAAGTCCAATATATATACAAATAAATAATAAAACAATTATTGAATTCGGTTCTCGTAGGATATGAGGAATTATTAAGGCCTCGGTTTGTGTTATCTGCCTCAGCCTTCGGCTTCGGCAGATAACACAAACCTCTGCCTTAATAATTCCTCATATCCTGCTCGACCTCATTCAATAATTGTTTAATAAAAGTGAGGAAACCCAGTTTTGGATCGATTGTCACTTTTTACATAAATCTATTTGAGTATCATATAGTGATTTCTAGAGTTGAGTATCAATCGATCACTTTTTACAATTTTTATATATTTTGTGATTAAGTAGAACCCGTAATATATTAATGCATACTCCCTCGTCACTTTCCCTTAATAGACTAGTAAATGTTCCAAAAAATATTTTGCTGTAAAATGTTAAAGCCAAATCAATGGAAATGGTCTGTGAATAAAGTGACAATCGCGTGTCAATTGAGCACATGTTCAAAGCGTGTTATATTACACTATATATTTCATTATATCATATCGTCAATACTTTGTTCTGAATCCTTTACATTTAATCACATCATCAATGCGTTTGGGCATGCTTAATAAAAGATTGTTAATATATTTTGAGTATAGTTTTACGCACTCTTGCTTTAAATTCAGGCCATGTTTCTTGATATATGCACCCCGAGATAGCTTGACTCTTGAGCTGCTTTTTCACTATGTGGAATAAGTTCTCGATGGGATTAAGATCTGGCGAACGCGCAGGGATTTCAAATAATGTTGCACCAGAATCGTTTATTGCTTTCTTAGCCACTTTGCCTCTCTGTGAAGGCTCATTGTCCATAACAAAGCACTTTTGCTGATTCTCGGCTGTAAAGAGCTTCTTTTGTCGGACGTCCTTTGGTCGGACGCATCGCAGACAAGAAGATTTGGCCAGTCATCCACTACAACGCACCGTTATCAATATGAGTGCTAGAAGACTTACGCCGGTTGAAGAAGATGTCTTGGCTCTTGGATTAAATTTCGCTGTGGTACCCCGTGTTCTTCCTAAAGAAGAATTCGTACAACGTTTGGAACCGAAGTTATACCACATGACGAACGATGAAGCTAGTAACATCCGCGTCCAAATCACCGAGGCTCTACGACGTGCAACGCTTCCAGCTTCGAATTTAACCAAGAATGAGAAGGATGCATTGAAAAACTTAAGAGCAGATAAGTCAATACATATTTTAAAGGCTGATAAGGGTAACGCTACGGTCATTTTAGATCGTCTAGAATATGATAATAAAATCCTGGCTCTTTTAAACACTTCAACTTATAAAGAGCTTAAAAGAGACCCTACAGCTACCATTGAACGTAAAATATGTTTCAAACTATCTGGTTTTAAAAAGGCAGGTATTTTGTCTCAAACACTTCATAATTGTTTGAAACCTTCAGCTACTGTTTGTCCAAAATTTTATGGTTTACCTAAGATACATAAACCTAATGTCCCACTAAGACCTATTGTAGCGTCCATAGGTTCGCCAACGTATGCCCTGGCTAAATATCTCGCTGAGATATTGAAACCAGTTGTTAGAAAAACAGATCATCATGTAGTAAATTCTAAAGAATTTGTAACAAAAATGGAAGAAATTAGATTGGGTAAGAATGACATTCTGGTACGTTTGGACGTAGTTAGCTTGTTCACTAATGTTCCAGTTGAAGAGGCTTGTAATATCGCGAAAGAAAGACTTCTTTCAGATATTACACTATCTCAAAGAACTAATCTTTCTCCTGAGAATGTTCATGATTTGTTGAAACTATGTTTGACCACGACATGTTTTCAATGGCGGGAGAAATTCTATGAACAAACAAACGGCGCTCCAATGGGAAGTCCATTGTCGCCTGTTATGGCTAATTTGTTCATGGATGAATTTGAAAAGAAGGCCTTAGCTACTGCAAAGTTGAAACCAGCTTTCTGGTTCAGATACGTGGATGATACATTGAGTAGCTGGTCTCATGGACTAGATAATTTACAAAAGTTTCT